CATAACATTTATTTTGTGAGCCCCAATTTAAATTGGAACACCACGATCGGCCCAAACATTCATTTTAAGGCGATGGAAGATTTCAGGCGCACTTAAAATGGCCCCTAAAGCTTCACTTTTGCGGGGAACCGAATTAAGCACGACTCCCCCCAACCTTCCCTTAGGCTCCAATGGTCCCATGGGTTTCGAAGGTCCTTTTTTTGGTCCCTTGGGGGCGGAGATCAAGAGCCCGATTAAAGGGTCCGAAGGGCAGGCCAGAGGTCGTATGGTGGGATCACAGCCTAAAGACCGGATGCTAAAATGTAAGAGTAGCTCCAGCACTGATCGGAAACCCGTGCGACTGCGTCTCTATTTGAATCAACTGACTGAGAACAAGGCATGTCGAACAGTCAGTTCCGTGCTATTCTGGGGCGAAACGGCTGTTTCCCAAGCAGAGACAAGGCCAAGATCTCTAAATGGCAGTTGGAAGGCATCCTACAATTGTCGGGACACCTGAAACAATGAAGGACCCACATTGCTGGTCAGTCACCACAGTCCCTAGCAAGAGACCACATGTCGGCAACGAGCCTCAACCAGCACATTTGCTGAAAAGGAACGATGACAGGCCCCCGTATGTCAAAGAGCCTATTGTGGTGTTCTGGACCCTCAAGACAATGAAAGGATTCATGAGAAATGACAAAAGGGGGTTCTCATGTGCAATGAGACAGTGGAGAGGCCTGTGCCAGCCAGGGACACCAGAACCGGACGAGGGATCCTCTGCACCATTTCAACCAGGGACCGATACGGCGAAGTAGTGTCTCGATACCAATTATTGGACTTCCTGTGCCAGTAAAGAGACTGTTTGCATCAGCGAGGGCCCCAGCGCCGATCCGTTAGATCTGCCTATCACTTCGACAAGGAACAAGACACTGATACATGGCGCGGTATTGGGTGACTGGCATGCAGTGTTGTGATTTGCTGTGTTGATTGTGTTATTCACAGTGTCTGGTGCTAATGATATCTTCTGCACGGCTAAGGAATTGTTTGTTGTTGCCAAGTCAAAGCGGCAGTGAGTGCTGTCTAGTGAAAAGTTTGTTATTGGTTTGCATGCTCTTTTTTATGCTCTGATTTGAAGTGTTTAGTGTGCCGAAATGAAATGAAGAGCCAGATGTACAGAAGAGTCAGTCATCAGTCATATACCGTACAGGTTCTGCGAGATTTGTGTGTCCGTCGACATAAAAACATATATATATATATATATATATATATATATATATATGTATACATCATGATTGAATGTCATGTGCGATTCAGTCAAAAGCACCAGCCGGAACTAACACGACACCATATCGGAGTGGTCGGAAGCAGTAAACTTCACATTAACTAAATCTCCACACATGTACATTTAAAAAATGCTAGGCAACTGGAGAAGTCCTCTTACCTTGTGAGGTCCTTAGACTTCAAGGCTGTATCCACCAACAAATCCTCGTATTCCGGCCATTATGTTCTAATATTCTTATGTAAGCAGTCGGTATACGGGAACCTAGCTTACTGCGCACAGCCCTAGAACACCAGGCGTGCTTTGTATGCAAATACACGGAGCTTGTTCATCTTCGTCGGATCATGGTGGATTCTGTCATTTTAAGGTTAACCATTTAGAAGAAAAAATGGCAGCATTCACTTAAATTGGCTGCTAAATACCGTCAAAATCAAACACGAGCTTGATTCCTAGCTTATACACGGTTAGCCGGGTAGCTGATGAGATCAGCTGATGGCTGAGGACTAATACAGAGGTTTTGGTTTGCCTGTTGCAAGGGAATACAGAATATCCTATCTTTAAAAAATTATTAAAACGTAACGTACCGGTATAATTATCGTCACAAATTCAATAAACAATGGAAATAAGATGCACGACGTCGGTGGCGTGTAAAATTATGTTCAACAATGACAATAATTCATGGCGTAATCGTCATAGCCGCAAATTTAGTTATCAGTCGGTAAGAAGTAAACCCCCAGCAAAAATTATTAAGATATAGGTCCCCGTCAATGGTGTAGGCCCTCCTATAATATGGAAAAGCCGAGACCAAAAAGGACGGCACCTGGGCAATCGAGACTGCCGTGGCAGACCAGCAAAGAAACTCCAATGAACAGTGAAGGGTCCTCATAACAAGCGAGAAAAACCTAACACCAATATGGTGGGACCCTTGAAAGATCGGGAGCACCCCGGCGGGCTAACATATAGGGTCCCGCCGGAGAAAAGCATCCCCTGAACAAAGGGCACGAGTCGGGGATCAGTGCACATGAATTAACGCCCCTTTGTGACCAAGAGTGTCCGGGCAGGTTAACAGAGAGAGCTCTGACAAGTGAAGGGTCCTCAGCAAATAAGCTCAAAAAGGAAAATAGCCATAGGTCAATGAAAAGGGCCCTTCAGCATCGAGTGCCTCGGATCGTTACCATATATGGGGCCCCAGGAACAGCACGGGGTCCTCCAAGCAAGTGGAAAGAACCCGATACTAATGTGAAGGGTCCCTAAGCAACCGAGTGTACCCTGGCATTTGGGGCCCACGCAGTAGCGGCGGGGCGGGAGAGCCCGCTTACCCCGCGGGCGCAGCGGTCTCTGCCGAGCCCGCGCCGCCCGCTATGTCTCCGGCCGCGCCGCCGCCCGGCGCATCTGCGCCCAGTCCGCCAGTAAGCCCCGGGGCACGGCCGCACCCGGGCCGCACACGGCCGCCAGGCGTCTAGGTAATTTATAGTAACCACACTTCACTGTACGCATCACGTGATCATCGGTGGAATTCCAAGGTGACTGTGCCATCTGTTGACAGAAGAGGAAATAACGATAGGACACAAAGATGCTTCTGTAGTGTTATCTAGCGACAGGAATTCAAACTAGATTGGTTGCCATGGATACTGGGCGTTTTGAACACTGGACTTCACGACTCTGGACTTTGCGACTCTGGACTTTGCGTCCCTGGACCTTATGCACGCCCCCAATGGCCACGGAATTGGACGTTTTCTGGACGCTATGAACTCTGGAAGCTGCGATCCTGGACGATATGAACACTGGACGCTGCGATCCTGGACTTTTTGATGGCTCCCCAAGCTGCTCTGAGCATGGGTTGTCTGCAGCCAATTTTGGTGGTTTACGGCATTTTGATGACCTTCACGTGACCCAAGGTCACTATGAATCGGAAGGTATAGGATACCGACTAAAACGCATCGACAGGTGAAGATGTTGTGATAATGTGGCCAATAGACTTAAGGAATTGTGTTGTCTGCGAAGTATGCTACCATGTTTTCGCATTTTTGGTGACCTTTGACCAGATCCAAGGTCACCATTTTCCGGATCGGATAGGTTAGCGACCAAGCGGCATCGAATGGTGAAGGTTTGGTGTCCATCTGCTCTATAGCCTCGGAGCGTGGGGTTGTCAACAGGTTTTGTCGGTCATTTAGGCCCTTCTGCTGGCCACCACCGATGGCTTTTGGCGGAATGCCGCGCCACAGCCAGCTGTAGGGTCTGTCGTTCATGTGCTTTCCGAATTATTTGTTTGGTTAAGCTTTGCCATAATTTAACACGCGCTTGGGTGGGTGGGTCAATTCCAACACCTGAAGGGTTTCCCAAATGATGTCCGAACGGCGCGACTTATCCGTGCCAAAACTGGCGTAGGTGCGGAGAATTGAACGGCGAATTTTTTTATGCAAACAATTAATGCACCCAGTAAGGTCGCTGAGCCATGGCCGGTCACAGTCAGGCGGTGGATGTCAACGAAAAGAATTTCTATGCAATCGTTCAATGTAATACAACGACGGAGTGTTAGACGAAATCATGCATGTTTGAGAAAGCTTTTTAGGCAATAACCCAGTTTAATTTATATTTTAAGCTATCAATTCACCAAAAAACAGGCATGAAGGTCAGACCAAGCTCACAATCAACCTGTTTTTTTATTAGAGAGCTTGGCTTATGAGCTAGTTTATGGCGCTCATTTCGAATGTATTAATGACAGGGGCCGCAACAGACATGCTCCTTGAACTTTAAAAGGTCGGAGAACGTTACTGACCTAAAATAACCCAGGTCAGCATTTTGTTTTTATGAACATACCACTTAGGGTAATGACTGACACTTATCCAAATGGCAAAATAGGAGCAATCGCGTTTTATTTGGTCACCTTGACCTTATAAAGGTCAAACAAGGTCACTAACACTAATGGAACACCGTTTACCTTTCGCTTACAACAAATATCTGGTTTCACGGTGGTTGCATGAAGGGGGCTTGGGAATACTCGAGACATCAATCTAGTCTGACCTTGTTTGACCTTATTTGACCCCAAGATCATTATCTAAGAACCTCAACTTTGGACAGAATTGAGTTCACTAACCGGCTAATCAACTTTGTGAATTTTGTCTCCGACAATCTTAGTTTTCGACATCTCAGAAGGGTCAAATTCACCACCGACCCGAGCGTATGGTATTCGACTGGCACCCGGGTGCGAGGGCGCGTGCTCGTCTGGGAAATCAGAGTTGCGGGGTTCGATTCCATGCGGTGTATACCGTTTATACCAGGATTGAGAGACAGGCGACGCCAGATACCCTGAGCAGCGTCGCGTGAGTCGTGCTGCGTCGTAAAGCCCCATGACGACAATGCTCATGGAACTCACCCGCGTGGGCATGCATTTTACATCACGAAAGCGTTCGAAATGTACTCCAATGACGTTACTAGAAGCATTTGAAATGAACGCATGCGATGCTCCCGTGACGAAAATCAATCTTCTGCTGCAGGAAAGGCCAGTGCCTGACCGCCTGACATGTTTGCCAGGGCAGAACACTCGGGACGACGGCGGCGCAGTCAATTGGTACAAACGGCGGCCGCGTCCGCCAATGGCAGGCCAGCCTCCTGGCTTGAGCCGGAAAACGAGGGCCTCCGTCTTCCTCGAACGGCTGATAACGACATGAAAACAGTATCATGCGCTGGGGCGCGCATGCGCGGCGGACGCGCTGTGCTCAGCAGCTGCGGGTGAGGACCGTAGGCGGGAGAGTTCCGAGTGAGCATCTATCGAGTGAGAGAGCATCTATTGAGTGAGCATATATTGAGTGAGCATATATTGAGTGAGCATATAGATCCTCGCGAGTGCTGAGGCAGGGCTCTGCCTGTCTTATCCGGGGTTGTCTCAGCAGAGGCTATCGCATTAGTTGCTATCTGCCGTTGGTGTCGGTGAGCTTGCAGTGACCTCTGCGCTCCCACTTACAGGCGGTGAACAATTGGAGGTGAGTGTAGGCACCTTCACCACCTCTCCGAAGCTACGTACGTTGCCGAGTGCCAAGTTTCCTGTGTGGGAAAGCTATAATTCTAAATAGGAGGTGTTAAGCGTGGGTGCCCCCCCCCCCCAAAATGTGGACTCACTGTCCGATGTTTGGGTTTCTACATGTTGTGCTTATGAGTTCAGTCGGTGGCCTTGAATCCTGCGACCTTTGGAACTGGCTGTAGGTGAACGTGGCTTGTCGTTAGGAAAAACTCAAACATTTTTTAACCAGTATGAAACGCCAATGTTGTTACATGTTGTCATGTTGTTAAAACTGTACGACGGTTTCAAAAGGACAGTTTTTACCAGTACAGGGGTTGTAGATTTAGCGGGGAGCATCCTCCTGGTGCATTCGAGCGGCTTAGGCAGTTTCGAAGTGCGGTCTACGATTGGCACAGAATGACGCGAAATAGTTCCGTGGCAATTAGTATCGACATGTACTCTTTTAAGGAGACCGTGCCCCCCCCCCCCCCCCCAGTGCTAAAATGCCCTCACTCCCACGTTGGCTTGGGAATATTTTGTGAAAGGAATGTTTTTTTCTTCAAAAGTTTTGAAGAGTTTCGGTAGCAAGGGGTCTGGCTTCACACTTGCCTACAAGAGCATGATCTTGCATTTGGCCAGTCAGACGCAATTTTATCAAATTATTCGTCTTAACAACCATGTTTTAAACATTTGCGAAACATTGCTAGGTGAAAATCGTTGACCGAAAGGTGTATAATTAGAAAATAAGCACCTTGTAAAGTTTTTCTTAAGTTTAAGAGATTTGCACCGCAGTCCTTCATCAAAACTGATTGATATTGATTGTGATTCCATGTAGTTTTTACAGACGGCAAAAGTTGTTTTGGTATCGCAAAACAAAGCTGCCCACTAAATTTGGGTGCAACTTTCGGCTTGTGATTCTAAATTGATGGTTTCAGATTTGGCTTCGCGTTTCCTGCCTTCGGCTTCACCAATTCAAACTTAAGGGCCATCGGCTCCGGTCTGAACTTCGGATTCATGTCATTGTCTTGGCCTGCAGTTCGACTTCGAAGCCAGAAGCCTGGCCTCACCCCAGTGTCGGACTTGACAAATAAGGCGATGAAAAAGATTGAAGAAAGATTTGAACATCATATAACCGGAGCTGATTTCAGGATAAGCAGTTGGCCGTATGAGCTACCGCCTTTAGGAGCCATTTTAGTCCACAATGCACCTGATATTGCGCTGTTGGGGCAGAATTACTGCCACCAAGCCACCGGCATGTGGGACTGGGCGCGCGTAAAACACGAGAGCGAATCGTTACGCGACGTGGGCTCGCAACGGTACTGCAATGCAGCGCCCTGACGGAAGTTTTATCCACGACGCATTCCATCTCCTGCCTGTGCTAGCTACTACAGGTTCCCGTGTTCTATATGGGTGTCTTGGAAACTTAAGTGTCTTGTCTTAAAAGTTGTTTACCTCATGGCTTTCGAGTCTGAAAACTTGAATGGCTTGAAGGTGGCTCAGGAATATTTTTCAGACATCATGGACGTTCCTTTCAACACCAAGGTCAGTCATGGCCTCATGGGCGCTTGAGGAGCTTCCACTAAAGCAACCTCATTACGCCTAACCAGAAGAAGCCTTACCTCATCTCATTCCGTATAACCTATTTGTCAGACAGGATGAGACAAGTATATCACAGTAGCATCTGTGAATCACTGATGCTTCCAAAATTCCTACTGCCACTTGCCATGCCATTAACCATCTCAGTCTAACTTAGAGCAGCCCGTATGTTGAACATCATCTCAACCCAGCTTACCTATTTCTCAACAGCAGCAGTTGTAATAAAACTTATTTTTGTCTGGTTTCAACTTGTGTTTTGGTTAAATTCATTTGAGTCAGCTCGCGGACACCAGATAAAATTAACAACACACACATCAGGACCTCTCAAATCACTTTGAACAGTTAATTCTGATTGTGATGGTTAGCCCCTGTCAAAGACAGTAGTGGGTATGGTCCACAAAACGACCTGTCTTCTCCAAATATAACATAACTAATAGATGGCCACAAAACCAGTTTTGCCGCTTACCTTTTCAGCTTTGGCAAAGACATCCAGTTAGGTTTGGTTATTAATATGAAATGCTTTAGCTTTACATTTTTAATGGGGTGGTCTGACTATTTGCTAAAACTGATATCTACCTCATATTGTCACTGCTATGCAGCTTAGAGTATTTCTGTGTGAAAGAGATAGTGCATGTCTCCAGTGCAGTTTCTTGCCAGTCAGCAAACCATGGCAACCATGGAGAACATCTTGTTAAAGCGGATATAAGGGACCACTTCAGCAGTTTCATGCTAATAATCAAGAGCTTGGAACAGCATAGTTTGATCACATGTATTGTGGTATCATAATTCGTCTTATGAACAAAACTCGATAGATTAAAACAGAAACTGGTTAAATCCGGTTACAAATCACGTGTTATGAGCGGTTAAGGTTAGCAATTAGTTGCTCCACAGGAGGAACTTACCGACTTTGAAAGGTAGGTTTCTTTCTGCTCCCCCCACACAAAAAGTCAGTATTTTTCGCACAGTTTGCTGGCGGATAGGGTGATCCATCCCAACCACAGAATATCAGTGGCAATCATGGTCACTAACCTACGAGATAAAAATGCGAAATAAGTAAGAGGAGCTCGGCATGAGAAAACAGTTCCGAAGGGTAGAATTTCGCTATCAAACACTTCTGTATTAGCTGCGCCAGGTCGGTTCCAAAGCCATGTACGGCAGGATAAGGTAACACGGTGAGCTAGTGAAACTAAAATGACTTAGAATTATCACTATTGAGCCCCACCACTAACCAAAAAACAACAAAACAAAACAAAAAGGTTAGCAGTTAAAGAGGGCAAAAGTGACAGCAAAACCAAGTTCTGTGCTTCATCTATTCTCTTTCATTTTCCAAGAATTGGTCGATCTTGGTGCATATCAAACATGTTTGGGTGGCTGGCAAATCAATCCAATTTATGCATGAAATATGAGCAACTTTGCAGTTAACACATCTTGAAGAGAAATTGGTCAACGTGTTGAGCCGTATATGGCGTCTTTTAGATATATTCGCAGGGGAAGGAAAGATGACGTTGCGTCGCACCCGTGTAGCACCAAAAAAAGCAAAACAAAACAAAGGTAACGAAGTCAATATAAATCTCATAGTTTGTTGGTTAAACTTTGTAATCAACTCAATTGTCTTAAAACTGTGAAAATGAGTGCTCAAATTGTGGCATTTGGCTTTTAGATTTCATTTAGAAGGCATTTCTTGAATTTTTCACTCCTACATTTCCGGAGTCGTGTAATTTAGTGGCAAGTTTCTTCGGTTAAAGAAAAACGTTGAGTAAAGTTTTCTTCCAGGTTTTGCTGTTGTTTGTACCAGACTTTGCTTTGCTGTCGTGGTGCTGGCGTGGTGCGACCCCAAAAATTGAGGATGCGTGAAAACCTTGCATTTGGCACACAGCTGCAAATTGGGATGCATTTTGTAAGCAAACCAAACCTGATGCACACAAGCAAGCTGGCTGGAGTCGCTGGGGCTCTCAGGCTCGGAGGTACCCGCTATCCTTACCCTGCGCATACATAGGCATGATTCAGAGGAAGGTAAAGCAGGATATAGCCATAGGTGTCCAGTTCCTGTAAAGCTTTTGTTTATGCTTGATGGTTTTAAGTTAGCTCGGTTTTGGATGACATCTTAAAACCTCTGAAAGGGAAATATGTGTGGTATGTTTCTATGGTTAGTATGTGTGATTAGCCAATATCAGTTAGGAATGAAAAATTATCATGAAGGATGAGGAAAAGAAGTGAAAAATTTATCCTCATAGGGTGTTGCTTTACACCCACAGTCGACAACTCAAGGAAGCTGGCTCAAAACTACATGCAAATTTGGAGCACTCCCTTTAAAGGCGTTTTCCAGACTGTGAGACATATGCTCAGCCCACATATTCCATTTTGCCCCTCAGGCACGTCCCTTCAATGTTAAAACGACATTTGATTTTAGCGGATCCAGTAGCATTATGGGGGAGGGAGTAGGGGTGGGGGAGGGGGGTGGGTGGGTATGGACAGTTTTCTGTCCACATGAGCCAGGCCAACTACTCGTGAAAACATGAGTGTAGGAACGGGGGAGGGGGCAGCGCGGGGCAAACACCCACTTTTCAAAGCCAATTTGACCGGCGATGTAACCCCCACTTATTCAGAACTAATCTGCGTTCCGCTTACTTTTTTACCACCTCAGGCATGCGTGCCGATTTTCTAGTTTACTAGCCATCTTACTCAAACCCCACCGGACACATTCGCTTCATGTGGTAAATGGCAGCATCATATCCTGTCATGTACGGCGAACGGTGGTAATCAGGGACAAATCCAAGGTTCTGCTAGTGCCAAAGGCCCCGTTCTGTCTTTTGATAAAGCCTAGGCTCTTTTGAGTCGCTGCTTACAGTCCTCTCAGCACATGTTCAGGGAGTTCAAGATGGAAGGATAGATTCTTCTAGCTCCTCCGAATCGACCAGGGGGCCCTGACCCCGCGTTGCCAAAATGGCAGCCGGAATGCGCCCCGGGCTGGGACAGAAGGTCCCCTCAGCCCTTGAACGGTAATGATAATGTGCCTCCTAGTGATCTATTCGCGGGGTTCCTTATCCGGAAAATGTAAGGGGTCTCAAAAGCACTAAGTGGAGCTGACCAAAATGAGATCAAAAATGAAAAAAACAACCCATGCTCGCATGAGAATGCTCATGTTTTGTAGAACTGACTAGTAAACAAATAACGTAAAACAGCTTATGACCTTGCACCCTTGCGATCTCAGGAGGAAGAACAGAGATAGCCGGGGTTACAGTTTCCGTAAAACCGAATAGCATTTGCGCTGCAGGTAACACCAAGGGGCGGGCGTCGTGCACGTGAGAACGACGGTCATGAAATAACGCTTCCAAAAGTTTTTTGAATGAATTATAACAATTCAAATATTAGACTGGAAGTTTTTTATTACAATTTTGAGGATATCCTGTAGTCAAATTTACATTTACAGTGGCACGAAAAAGTAAAGCTTTATCTGTTTATCTTCCAGTTCCACCGCCAGATTCCAGCACCACTTCGCGGTGCTGTGAAGACTAATCCATCCTTATTATCAATCTAAAAATCGCCCAGATGAAATACACGCCCGCACCGTTTCATAAACGCACCGAACGATGTCTTAAGGCGCTCAAAAATATTCCTTTCAGATGCGTCATCTGTTCCGTCCGCTCGTAAGCCATCGCTTGGTGCCAGTCGCGGGTACGACGCCGCGCGGCCTGCGGAGACTGCATCACAGGGCCGTCGCTAAGACTCACGAGCGCGCATGCTCAAAACCATGTTACATAGTTTGCCTTAGGAATCGATTCTTACTAAATGTTGAACATTTCAAGACGAGCATGAGTTACATACTCCAATGCAAATTTTAGACCCGTTTCGGTCTACAACCTACCTTCAGAGGTCCTCAATATCTCTGAAGAACACAGAAACAATCTCACAGAGCTTCAGTGTTCTATTGGTTTAGAAAGAGTCGACTGAACCTTTGTAAAATGAACGGCGGCGGCAACTTATTCCTTGCTTTGTTCAACGACTGATTTCTACAGTTCATTGACTTCCAAATACAAGCAGAATTGATCGCGATATTTTCTGGTTTCTGTTTCTATTCTGGTTTAAGGTAAAAATATAATAAAACGAAGGAATGACACCCTTCATCATTTGGCAAGGCTATGGCTGCGCCCCTGTCTAAACATGAAAGCATATTAAGTCGGTTACCCCGAAAAGGGGAAAATAAATGCCCAATGGACCAAATCATCACCAGGGCAAGCAGCTCCCAAAAGCTATCTTGTGCTCTGGTGTGGTATAAGGGAAGATAATTAAGAAATTATACCGTAGCAGTGGTCCAAATTGTGCTTTACACACCAATACGTAACGGTTTTGATCCATGCATATGCAGAAAAACAGCCATACGACCTGTTCGCAGTCAGTCGTGCGGGGGGCAGCCGGGTCAGTGCAGTGGCCACCGACGGCGGACGGAAGCAGGGCCCAGATAAGCAATACCGGAAAGACGGGCCTGCATTCCGTGACTCAGTGTTTACAGGAGAAACTTCCGTCTTATGTTGTTTTTTTGTCACGTTGCGTTTAGCATTAAGTATATGCGGCTTCTGAATTTGTTCCAGCGTGAAATACTGCGACAAATCTTATCCTTTGAAAAGCAGCCGGCGAAAGCTAGGCGCATGAAAACTCTGGCGCGCTATGGGCCATTCATTCGCAGTCAAGGGTCTGACCAGCCTGTGCCCAGGTCGTATTTTGCCATCTACCCTGTGGAGGCAGATGCCTCCCCAGTGACCCAAAATGCCTACCCGTTCGTGGAATTTCGCCTCCCCAGGGAAAGCAATGTTGAAATGGAAGAATAATCTGAGGAGGCAGGATAGTCTTAATTGCAAAATGGCACAAATGAGTCGAATAGGCAAGTTTGTGCGCTGATGGGAAACTGCTGTAGATGTATACCTAGCATAGCAAACATGACATCCAATTATTTCCAAAATGTACTATATGAATTAAGATCGCACTGCTACGGATCTATCTGCTACCGATCAAACTTCCCGGTCACAGGTTCCACAGACAAAAGCTCTACGTTTACGCGATGAAACCGCTGCAATTAAAACTTCTAGAGACAGATGTACAGCAGAAAATACCAGCAATGGCATCTTCGGAAAGAGGATCAAACGGATTTCATCGAACCCAATAAGACCTGTGCAATTGTCGCACGTCAGAGATTTCATTAGAACGGAACTGTTTGGTATGGCTAGTTACCGGATGAGTGAATTGCTGTTCCCCAGTGACATGGCGAGCTTCCATATGATATAGCGCCTTCTGCAACTCGGCAGAACTGCCGGCGAGCTTGTGCACGAGAAGCTGCTGTCACAGCACCACACCGCTGACGAGGAGACTACCAGTCGGGGGGAAAGCTGCTGTCACAGCACCACACCGCTGGCGAGGAGACTACCGGTCGGAGGGAAAGCTGCTGTCAGGGCACCGCACCGCTGACGAGGAGACTACCAGTCGGAGGGAAAGCTGCTGTCACAGCACCGCGTCGCTGACGGGGAGACTACCGGTCGGAGGGAGAGCGGAAGCTGCACAAGCTGATGGCGCCGTCCAATCGGACAAGGGCCGAGGATGAGCGCCAACGCGGCGACAAGCTGCTCAATAAACGTATACACGCAAACGCATACGCATGCCATTAGTTCGTGATAAGAGCATTTCATTTTCAGCCCTCCTTTCTGTGGACCGTTGCCCTGTAAATACTGTATCATTGAGCCATTGTTCGCCTCGATTTTGCACCTATTTATCGCCTGTTTAAAACGTGTGTTACACCTTACATTAACCACAGACCAGTTGCTTTCGACTTTTTGAATTCGATATTTCTGCTATCGATCAATAGTCGTGATTTTTCATTAGGCAAACGTGCGTGTGGGCCACAGGAAACTACACGGAAGCCATCAAGGCGTACACCGAAGCAATTAAGTGGAACCCAGACAACCCCGAGACGTACGGGAGCCGTGCTGAGTGTTACATCAAATTAAAGAACTTTGATCGGGGCCTAGAGGACTGCAACACCGGCGTCAAGCTAGACCCCTCGTTCAGTAAGTAATCGAACATGTCCAGGCGTCACATGAAACCAAAAAGCTAACTAGAGTGGCGTAGCCATCCCGTTATTTTGGCGACTTGCCTGCCACTTACAGGGCGCACCAGCGCTTTTGCACCAATATAATTTTATATTGATAACTTTGGGATCGGACATTCTTTAATCCACCGTGGACCGGCCCATGTGTGCACAGCATCGCCATGTCTTAGTATGCTTTAGGGTGATTGTTGGGATTGGCGTGACGCAGCGCTGCGCATGGTGGCTGGTGACTTCACATACTGCAGGTGGAAAAAGACATGCCATCGCGTCCGTGCCTGCGCGTAGACTGCGACAGCGTTCATGGCGATAGGTTTTCCAGGGCACGCGGGAGCAGGATAGAGTGATGGGATGGGATGGGATAGGATAGGGCTTGCGCGGGAGAGCTCTTCGCTAACAGTTTTTTTAGACAACACATTGTTTGTGCTTTGAATGCTGTTGTATCATTGAGCAACAAGACACAAATATGTCAATGCGTCCGTTTTGTCAACGGTGGTGCCACTTAGCGACTCGACACATCCGTCTCAATACTCTGATCACGGCACGTACCTACGCACTGCGCAGGCAAGGGGCACCTCCAGAAGGGCATGCTGCTGAAGGAACAGCGTCAATTCGACAAGGCCATGGAATCCTTCCGGAAAGCCATCGAGCTGGACGAAAGTAACCAGGTGGGTGAAGCTGGCGGTGCCGCGGTGTGTGGCGGTGGCAGGTGCGGACAGCTGTCACGGCGCCTCGTCAGGTCGCAGGTACCGTGGTGCCTGCTCTAACAGTCTGGGAGCGGGACTGGCTGGGCTGTTGTCGCGACGCCTGTCGGCGACGGCAGTCGACCGAGTCTTGCCGCACTCGGTCGTCCCGGGCACCGCCTGCCCAGCTGACAGCCCAGGCTGTGGACGCGCGGCTGACTCTGCTCTGACGTCTTCAGGAGGCCACCAACGGCTACCGCGAGTGCATGGTGGCCATGGATAACGACCCGGAGAAGACGAGGGCCCGGGCGCTCTCGGACCCTGCCGTTCGAAAGATCTTGGACGATCCAGAGATGAAGCGCATTCTGAAGGAGATGCAGGAAAATCCCTTGGAGGCCAGAAAGTAGGTCACGTCACTGTTCTCCATCGCTTCAGGCAGGTGTCAGTTTTTAAGATCGGTCGGGGGAAGAGGTGGGCCAATAAATTTGACCTAGAATGCCCGCAAATCCTGACTTTTCCCCGGATTTCTGCCACTTTGATTTACTTCCCGGATATCAAAATGAACAAGTGGTCGGTTGCAAAGCTGTTTGGAGGAGCTCAAGTCAGCGCATTGGTGGTGAGGGGGGGGGGGGGGCCTCAGGCCCTTCCAAAAGCACACAAAGTGTCATGCCTTGTTTCAGCCATAAGGTGATAAAATTGACATTTTCCCCAGTTGGTAAACGCTAGTTCTAACCTATATCTTTACCAAACTGCATACCTTAAAGCATGGTTAATACTCACGTCGTAGAAACATTATATGGATATTTCTCAGGAGGCAGGCGCCTTGGGGAATTTTTGCTCGATGTTTGTACGCCTGTGATGCTTCAGAGAAGACTACCAGTTCAACAAACTTATGGCCTGTCTTGGCGATGGTTTCGAACCAAACAAGGCAGGTGGTACGTGCCACGTGCCTTCGAACAGGCCAATATCGCAGCGACTTACAGCGGGGATGCCTATCTCCGAAAATGTGCCATTTGCTGCAACCAGTACGGATTGGTGTGATACTTCATTTTGACATAGCCCAACCATGATGATTGCAGACACCTGCAGAACCCGGACGTCGCGGCCAAGATTCAGAAGCTGGTGCAGTGCGGCGTGATAAGGTTCTGCTGAGCGGTGCACTCCGACGGAGCAGAGCGTCCGTTACGTGCCTGCCGCTAGCCAGCCGCCCGCGCGCCCACGGCCACGGCTGGTACACTGCACCGTGCCAGTGCACCGAGAGCTGGCCGCGCGGTGTGCTGCGGTGCGCTGCGGCTGGTACAGTGCCACTGCGCCGTGCTAGTGCACCGAGAGCTGGCCACGCACAGTGTTTTGCGGCTGGTACAGTGCCACTCCATCTTGCCACTGCACCGAGAGCTGGCCGCGCGCGGTGTGCTGCGGTGCGCTGCGGCTGGTACAGTGCCATTGTACCGTGCTAGTACACCGAGAGCTGGCCACGCACAGTGCTTTGCGGCTGGTACAGTGCCACTGCACCTTGCCACTGCACCGAGAGCTGGCCGCGCGCGGTGTGCTGCGGTGCGCTGCGGCTGGTACAGTGCCATTGTACCGTGCTAGTGCACCGAGAGCTGGCTGCGCGTGGTGTGCCGCGGTGCGCTGCGGCTTCCGGAACGGTTATGCCAACTGCGCTGAAAGCTGCGGTGGTCGTCGTCACTAGTGATGACAGATTGTTTGCTTGCTTAACAAATGGTCTTGCCAGACAACATGAACATTGACACTATGCTTGAGCTGCTCTAGCAGCGAGCTGACGTCATTGCCGGGCATGTGTCTGTGAGTGCGCGGACAAACACCCACTACCCTAGCCGAACATTCGTTCCTTTGGCCCAACATCTCCTGTGTCCGAACACCCGCTCCCCTGGCCGGACACCCGCTCCCCTGGCCGAACCTCCGCTCCCCTGGCTGAACACCCGCTCCCCTGGCCGAACGCCCGCTCCCCTGGCCGGACACCCGCTCCCCTGGCCGGACATCCGCTCCCCTGGCCGAACGCCCGCTCCCCTGGCCGGACACCCGCTCCCCTGGCCGGACACCCGCTCCCCTGGCCGAACGCCCGCTCCCCTGGCCGAACGCCCGCTCCCCTGGCCGAACCTCCGCTCCCCTGGCCGAACCTCCGCTCCCCTGGCCGAACGCCCGCTCCGCTGGCCGAACATCCGCTCCTGTGGTCGCAGAGGTGATTGATTACGTGAATTCTATTCATGTGACTTTTTGAAGCTCCAACGACATGTTTGAATGTCCTTTTGTTCCTGGGTTCTTCATATATACATATATATATATATATATATATATATATATATATATATATATTTGGGAACATTTCGCACACTATCCAATGCCAAGCTCTCGGTGCACTACAAGCTAAAAAGGTTTGACGAAGGCCCCAAATGGAATTTGGAGGTGATGCATAGCTTTAGTGTTGACATGGCGCGGCTTTAAAAACAAGGTAGAGATGGATAGCGGCAAAATTTTGTTGACTTCATCTAAACGCATAGCCATGTTTTGTTCCTTAACGAGGGTGGGACTTCTCATTGTTTGATATCCTGAATACATGTAATGTTTTCTGACAGTCGCCTGTGATCAGGCAATATGATCAGGTATTTGAAGGAAAACAATGTATTTCCTCAAAAAGAGTTATGCCCCCACCTTTTGGAGGTTTGATTAGTTTGTCAGCTCTGGCAGGGTTGATTCGCTTGCTTTTCCGAATAACAGCATAGTACCTGAGATACGGTACAATCAGGGTGATTTGAAGGAGCAAAGATTTGCGAGACGAGAGGTTTGTCCTTTTAGCCTTTTCTACTGCGTCCGGGCTTTGAACGATGCAAGTGAATGTACTGTTTATGTCAATTAGTCATTTCACGTTTTTGTCGAGTCACTCCTACGTATTGGACAAATCTTGTGTTATCAGTTTGGATGTCACGCAATGTAAGTTTGAGATCATCAATAATATACATTAATAATCTGTTAATGAAATTGCATTTTGTTAGCTATAAGCAAAGCCATGCCCGTACTGACAGCCTGATGTCGGACCTTCGTACCAAAGCTTTTGAAGACTTCAACAGACCACAAAACGCCAAATAATCCGGCTGACATGGACAGGCAAGACCGCGGAGAACTTCCCGTAAGATCTGAATATGTACAGGCAAGACCTCGGAGAACTCTCCGTAAGATCTGAATATGTACAGGCAAGACCGTGGAGAACTCCCCGTAAGATCTGAATATGTGCAGGCGAAACCGCGGAGAACTCCCCGTAAGATCTGAATGTGTACAGGCAAGACCGCGGAGAACTCCCCGTAAGATCTGAATATTGCGCTTTGGATTCAGTCACCTTAGAAAAACATAGTGCTTCCACTTCTCGAGGAGCGTCTCAGGATACGAAGGGGACGTGCCTAACGCTTAAAAACGCCACGGGGGTGTTAAAGGGGCCCGGAGAAATGAAAGGGCTCCCCAAAGGCACCGTAGGGCTTTGACTGACCTTGGTGTGGTGTAGGTGCACCCGTGGTGTTTGAAGATGCACATGATATACCTTGAGAATAAATTAGCCTCCAGACACACAAATTTGAAAACAACATACTGGCGTTTCAAAGCCTTGAGTGCAGAATACGGGAACTTAAAGTGTCAGTATACGAAGGAAAGCGAAAACGTCGGGGATTTAACTTCGTCGGCGTGCCGAGCGCCGGCACCGTCACGAACCACAGCCATGCGACGATTTCCGGCCTTGTCTCACACAAGGCCTGCATTCCGTTATTTCGGTGGTCGAGATCCTATCCCGCCTGCACATTATTACGTGCCTTATGGTACACTGCGCATTAGTACGTGCCTTATGGTCTAAAGATGGTACCGTAAAGCGCTATGCTACACCACGCATTAGTACGTGCCTTATGGTCTGAAGATGGTATCTTAAAGCGCTATCTCACACTGCTAGACGCTTGGCTTTAGAGCAGTATGCGTTGCATGAAGCAAAAATCTCATTCGAACAAGTTAATTGGCCAATTCAGATACGGAACGAAGACAAGGTTCTGGCCTCGAGGCGAAACTTGAAGTCAATGACATGAATAGCGCAATAGAACATAGCGAAATAGAACAATGACATGAATCCGAAGTCAAAGCGGAGGAGGATGGCTTTGAAGTTTGGGACCGCAAAGACAAAGCCGAAGCCAGAGGCTTCGTGTTTTTCTCGTATTGAATTGAAATTAGAAGCCGTCGGTCTTGAACTTTCCACGCAAGATCCTAAGTTGAAGTAAGCGCTCTCAATTCAGGTAACGCGAAGCCAAAGTCGGGGCCATTTATCTAAAATCACAAGCCTCAAAAAGGATTCAAACCATGGAATCGGATTTCTGCGAAGTCATAGAGATGGGGTGTAGGAACAATGGATGAAATATTTTGCACTTTGTCGTTCTCGTTTTGAGTGTTGGTATGTCCATACTGTTCCCGACAGCCCTTCACCGGCCACCGTCAGGTGTCAATCCGTCCTGAGAGAGTGACCGACTGGTGTTTTGACTTAAAACCATATATGCATCGCTTAATGGACAGGTTGCACGTTGTGGGGTGAATGACAAGAACACTGTTTTTTACTAAGTGAATTGACCACTGCAGCGAAAGATTGCAATGACAAAGCCGAACTTAACGGTTCTAGACTGCATAAGGCCAAGGCCGGAGTTATAATTCAGAAACTAGGCTCGACGGCGAAATAAAAGGCAAAGGCAGGTGTTAAAAAGTGAGACGATGCTGACACTGAAGTCAACCACTTGAAATAACACGAAGTCGAAGCCTTAGCCGGCTCAAAATCAAAGTCGGACCCAAAACCATCGGAGACAAATGTTAGTTTGCAATGCCGAAGCCGAAGCCGAAGCCAATTTCGTACCAACGCCAGAGTCGCGTGCGCGTTTCTTGAAGCTAGTTCTTGCAACTGATCGGAAGCATCAAAACACAAGTTTGCATTATCGATTCAAGCCAAGGATATTTTGTGAAAGTTAAATTGTCTTAAATATGTTTCTTGAATGATGTTTCTTGTACTGTTGTCTGAGTGTCTATCATGGCATCAAAATAATACCATTAAGGGCGCTGGGTGCTCCAAGGTCCTGGCAGTCTGGCAGGGCCGGCCATGCAACCAAACACTAGATACATGTTGACCACGTCAGGTGAAACTCGCGCCATGTTACATAGTCATCTCCTTAGTATAGATAAATAACTCAAGTCTGTAAGTGTATCTCGCGGTTTTGTCATCAGCATGTCGAGGACTACTTTTGATATGGATCTTAACAAAATCGTTGGGGTCCGTTTTCGACTGAGATTGTAAGTATGAATACGGATGCAAAGCTACCTCGACAAACGCTATGTCCAGTCATTTAATAAAATGGGGCAACCAGCATCTGAGCGAAAGCTAAGTTTTTCGTAGCGTTGGCGCCTTCTTCACTGAGAATAGTGCCACTTGGGAATCCCCCCCCCCCAACGAAATTCCTGGTTCCATAATAGATCCTGATTGAATCCTAGATCCTGGATTGTAGGCATGGCTAGGAAACAATGTCTAAAGTGAATGTGGTTGTGTGTGATAGACCGCCGTTTGAGAGCTTTTTCTACGCTTTTGTAACATTCCAGCAATAATATTGGGAGCCAAACGCAACATGTTGGAGCTGGGCGGGGGGCGGGAGAGGCGGAGGAGAGGGATCATAGCCTTCATAAAATTCAAATGGACACCCCGAGCCAGGGATAACGTCGACCAAACCGTCAAGGGTGCCCGCACTAGCAAATTAGCTATCATACGAGGCGTTTGATTATAGCCATGGCCTCATGCAATCAAGGACAAATTTCCAGCTGTGCTCGTCATGGTGATAATTGCTTTGGTGTTGATCGTCCGCTTGTGGACCGCATGCAGCACTAATTCGATTTCCGTTTGTTACCAGTTTCTGACCTTCAACCTCAATAACACATCAGCAGCACCTTCAGTTTATCATCGATGGAGGGCGACCCAAATTGCTTCTCTTGGAAAGTATCTCCAAGCGCGAACAACACGCGTTCCACTCTGAAACACGGGTTGAGCGCATTCAGCAAAGCTATCAATCGCACCACCGAATACCCTGCACCCGCCCATGGTCGCTTAGGCACAAATGAACTGATAGTCTATTTATTCTCGTCGGGTGGACGGTCGGACCAGGCACTCCTCCCGTCAGTGAGCAGTGGCGGTCGCGGGGGGCCTGACGTCTACCTTGGGCCGACAGACGGCAGACGAACCTGCTGCACCCAGTACTCGTGGTGCACATCTGCAAGTCCGTGACGTTGGCGAGACAAGAGCTGTAGTCTTGAGTGAATCCGCACAGCCGGCAGGTAAAATGAAGCCTGCCG